AAAAAAAGAATCTTCTCTCTGTAAAGCTCTTTATTCTGTCCTATATTCTTCTTTCATGTAAACCATGAAGCATTTGTGTCCCTGCAGGTACATGGCCATCATCCACCCTCTGCAGCAGCGCATGTCCTCCACAGAGACCAAGGTGGTGGTGGGTGTGATCTGGGTTCTGGCTCTGCTCCTGGCTTTTCCTCAGTACTACTATTCCAACACGGATGAGCTCCCTGGCCGAGTGGTGTGTTACATCGACTGGCCAGAATACACTGTGTTTGACTTCAAAAAGATGTGAGTCTCTCTGGCAAGCAGCTATTCAAGTCAGCAAGCCTAGTTAATTATTTTCCCATCAACAGCAAATTTGGGAGGTTTGTGAAATTTGTGTGTATTCAGTGAAAATGATTAAAGCTCTTTGTACTTTGGAGTCGATGAATTGAAGGCACATCCTAGTAGATTGGTGTTCTCTCGCTCTGATAGAAAAACATTTCAACATTTCATTTTCCCTTTGTAATTTTACAACTGCAGCTACTAAGAAGGATAGGGAGAATGTGTAAAAGGGATGACACAGAGCCATGGAGCCAGAGTGGATGATCTTGCAGTGCCCAACACTATTGGACAGTTTTCCTGCACTTTGCTTGCTGTTTGTGTTATGCATCCTTTTGCATAACTGTATTTTGGATATTTATTTTAACATATCCAACTGCTAAGTATGTATATGTAATCTGAAAAAAATTATATATATATAGGTAATACTTGTAGGATTAGGCAGTTTCCAGAGTAGAGTGTGCAATTTATTTTTTTCCCAACATCACCTGGGGTAATCTCTCTCTGCAGCCTAACTGCAGCTTTGGATAAAGCATAAACGGATGGATGATGCCTTTCAGCTTTTTATCATAAATGCTTCAGGCTAATATTTTCAAAATAAAAATCAGAGTTCTTCAAGTCGAATCTGAGAAATATTATCCCCTTTTTATGATAGTGCAGCGTATTAACATATGTCCATGGCTTTTAGTCCTAATTAGCAAGCTTTCAAAGTAAGTCAAGTGACGGCACTCAGACAAACCGCCTGTGGGACAACAAAACAGAAGAGCTGACTCAAAAGCCTAATGTAAACAGAACCTACGGCTTCATTTGGCTGTTTATTAAACCACAGAAGACTGACTGCATGTGGTGCATTTTGGACAAGTGCCCTTGCTGAGCTATTGATTCCAGCTTGTCTAAAAGCCAGCCTCAGTTCTATAAATGAAAGAGCCTGTTCAGTCATCAACTTAAGTAGCCAAATGTGGACTTGATTTATTTTTTATTTTGTTATCTGAAATGCGACAGACTAAGAGAGTTAAGCCAGAGGGTCGCACAGAATTCAAAATAGAGTTATTACCAGCATTCAAGGAAATTTTACTCCTGAGGTTTCTAATTCAGTCATGTGGGGTCAAAGTCTTCTCTCTTATACCGCTGAATATTCAGTAGCTCATTTTCTTCTTTTCAGCACTTTGCTGTGATTTTTATTTAAAAGTGGTCATTGTCTCTCATGCAGCAAAAACACTTTTTCGTTAATGTTGTCTTTACTGGGGAACATTTGGAAGAAACATCTGCCTGGCAGACACTACACATTTACACATTTAACCAGTTTTAATGCACTGCTACAGCCTATTACTGTCACATTTTTATAAACCAGGCTGCTTTTAGGTTTTATGACAATTGGCAAAAAGAGGAATAGGTATTTTACTCAATAATACAATAACAAACATGAAGTTATGCTTTAATGGCTAATTTAAAATACTAATAAATGCAAAAATCAAGAATATCACTTCAAATATGTAGGTCAGAAACTTTG